GCCATCTACTCCCCAGATGGCCTCCCATAACCAGGGGTGTGCCAGTGCTGAAGCTGGGAGCCAGGAACTCCGTCTGGGTTTCCCACATGGGTGGCAGGAACCCAGCTACTTAGGCTATCGTCATCTCCTGCCGGGGTCTCATTAGCAGGAAGCCGGAATCCAGAGTTAGCGGCAGGTGTTTAATCGGGCACTCTGATAGGAGATGTGGGCTTCCTTTTTTCAGTGTTTGTATGTTTTCATCTACTTGAATGTCTGTATATTTTCACCCATTTGGAAGTCTTACCAACAGAGAGAGAGGGGGTGGGAGGGAGGGAACTTACTTCCCAAATGTGCACAACAGCCAGAGATAGGCAAAGTCAGGAGCCTGGAACTGCAGGCAGGTCTCCTACGTGGGTGGCAGGGGTCCAAGTACTTAGGGCATTTTTGGCTGCTTTCTTAGGCTTGATAGCAAGGAGCTAGATAGGAAGTGGAACAACCAGGACTGGGGGCCGGCACTTGGCTATGGATGCTGGTGTTGCAGGTGGTGGCTTAACCTGCTGTGCCACAGTTCTGGCCTTGAGTTTTTTTTTTTTTTTTAATTAATTAATTTATTGGAAAGTGAGAGATACATGGAAAGATAGAAAGAGAGAAATCTTCTATCTGCTGGATCCAGGGAGCTGGATCAGAAGTGGAGCAGCCAGGACACGAACTGGTGCCCATATGGGATGCCCACGTTGCAGATGGCAGCTTCATCTGCTATACCACAATACCCGCCCTGAGTTTTTATTTTTAATGTCATCAAATTTACCTCTCTTTTTATTCTGATTTGTACAAAAATATTTTATATCAGAAGTCCTTTCCTACCCAAGGTCATGGGGTTACATTTTCTTATATCTTCTCCAAAGGCACGAGAGTGTTGCCGTTTAATATTTATTTATTTGTTTGAAAGGCAGAATTAGAGAGAGAGAGAGAGAGAGTTCTTCCATCTGCTGGTTCACTCCCCAAATGACCCAATGGGCTGAGCCAGGCAGGAGCCAGGAGCTTCTTCTGGGTCTCCCAGGTGGGTGCAGGGGCCCAAGGCCTTGGGCCATCTCCTGCTGCTTTCCCAGGCCATTAGCGGGGAGCTGGACTGGAAGCGGAGCAGCCGGGACTTGAACCGGAGCTCCTGTGGGATGCCAGCACTGCAAACAGCAGCCTCACCTGCCGCACCACAGCCCGGCCCCCGCTGTCGCCGTGTAAACCTAGGCCTCTAATCCACTTGGAACTTTTTTTTCCCAGTTTTTATTTGTATTGGCATAATGGTGTTCCTTTTACTGATGATTATTTATTATTCTTATAATACATTTTACTCCATTTTTTGTAAAAGCTCAATGGGCTAAGACAATACCTACCTCACTTGTGCAATGTCTTCAATAAGTTTGATTCAGGCTATCTGGAATTTTCCAAAATCTTCTGTGCACAGTGGTAGGGTGAAGCTGTGACTGTAGTTGAGCCCCTCTGGACACAAGGATGCACTGAGGCTGTTGCCTGTGGTGCACAGGTTGGGAGAAGGAGTAAGTGGTATGGTTATGTCCGGGCATTTGCCATCCATCTCTGTGGCTTGCTTCAATGTGCAAAGCCTTCCACAGACGTCTTACTTGATTCTCACCGCACCCCTGCTGGACACCAGCATTCAGACAAGGGTACCAAGGTTCAGAGATCTCAGAGACACGTCATTCCTCTCCTAGCTGTGTGAGAATGCTCAGGCTACAGCTTGGAGTTTCTACCCCTTCTGCAGTATCTGCAGCTGGTTCTCTGCCTGTGTTCCTTTCTGTAAAGTTTTCTCCAAGAGGCAGGTGTTTGCAAGATGACTTTGAAACCTAGAAAGGTGCTGCAGTGTTAACTTGGAGTGACACATGGTGCATTCGGCCATGGTACTCGGTGGTGGCTACAGCTGCCTGTGGTCCTCACCGTTACTGTCCCTATGGTACTCTGTTCTTTAGTGTCCTATCCCATCTCTGAAAAGAAAGCATTGCTCTCATGTAGATTAATGCCATGGCTTTCTTCTTTCTCTCTTATGAGCTTGATTACTAAGTTTTGACTATTGCTTCCTTTTAAATGCAATCCTCTTGTGATTGCATTCGCTTTGTTACTCTGTGACTTTTGCAGGCAGCTCTGGAGACAAAAGACCCATTTTTTACTTCCTTAGTATCCTCTGCCTTGTTTCTGAACATGGGAAAGGAAAAAGAGGGAGATTTTTCCTTAGCTCAAATATCTATGCTAAATTAGCTAGGAAAAAGAATCTGAATTCGTTTTGGAAGTATGTGATTAGATTCCAGACCAGAGCTCAGCAAACTTTCTATAAAGCCCCAGATAGTAAATATTTTAGACTTTGTAGGCTGTACAATCTCTATGGCAACCACTCAACTCTGCCAGTGTTGTTTGAAAGTAGCCCTAGTTGATACATATGTAATGGGTGTGGCAGTGTGCCAATAAAACTTTATTTACAAAAACAAACAGCAGATGTGGCCCCTGGACCAGTTTGCTTACGTTAGATCTTTGACTACATGTTTAAGCTTTGTCTGGATGATGAAGTCATTTCTCACCAACCATGTATTCCAGAGCCTCTTTCTATTACCAGCAAGGGGGTGGGGCTTTCTCTTTAAAACGTAAGTATAATATTTGCAAAGCTGAAGCTTTGCCACCCCACGCTGGGCTCCTAAAGAATCAGAAGAGGTGCTCGGTGTTCCTGAGGCACCTGCGAGCACTCATCCCGTTCCTTCCCACATCAGAGTTGCTGCCGGCACCGCTCCCACCTGGCCCAGGCTCGCCTGTGCCCTGACCTCACCCCGTTTCCAGCCTCCACACACGGTGCGAGTTCTCCAAGTCTGGGACGTGTTCGAGCGGCACTTTACGTCCTTGTGGCGCCTGGACCACAGGCTGGAAAAGCGTCGCTCCTGCTTCCCTGACTTCCTCTCCAGAGCGAAGATGGTTGTGAAAAATCTCCCAGTCATGGAGTTGAAATAAGACCTATTTCTTAGTGGCCTTCCGTTACTTTCTCACTCATGTCTCAGTCCACCTACAGCCATTTGGGACTCCTCAGCCTTTTTGTGTTACAGATTCCTGAGCAGAGGGCAACACGGGAGGGACTGGTATCTTTCATTATGACTGTTGTACATAAAATTTTTCCATGAAAGAAAAAGTTTCTAAGTTTTAGCACATATTTTAGGAAGATTACTTTGAAATGTTTGCAGCTATTTTTGCTGAGCAATATGTAAGTGTATAGTTTTTACATGACAGATTCTTTTTTTTTTTTTTTTTTTTTTTTTTGACAGGCAGAGTGGACAGTGAGAGAGAGAGACAGAGAGAGAGAAAGGTCTTCCTTTGCCGTTGGTTCACCCTCCAATGGCCGCCGCGGCTGGCATGCTGCGGCCTGCGCACCGCGCTGATCTGATGGCAGGAGCCAGGTGCTTCTCCTGGTCTCCCATGGGGTGCAGGGCCCAAGCACTTGGGCCATCCTCCACTGCACTCCCTGGCCACAGCAGAGAGCTGGCCTGGAAGAGGGGCAGCCGGGACAGAATCCGGCGCCCCGACCGGGACTAGAACCCGGTGTGCCGGCGCCGCAAGGCGGAGGATTAGCGTAGTGAGCCACGGCGCCAGCGTTACATGACAGATTCTTATCCTAAGAAGCAATAGGAATATATTCCCACTGTCACTTTAACTTCTAATTTTTAAAACAATGTTTTTCTGATATACAAGTAATATAGTTCTAGAGAAAAAAGTTTGGGAAATTTAGAAAAGTATCAATAAAGAAAGTAAAACTACTTACAGTAATTACAGTCCATCTGGTGAGAGAGTGAGAGTGAGTGAGAAAGGGAAAGAGAGAGAGATCTTCCATCTACTGGTTCACTGTAAATGCCTACAACAGCTGAGCCAGGCTGAAGCCAGGGTCCCAGAACTCTCTCCAGGTCTCCCATCTACGCAGGTCTCCCATCCAGGTATTCCATCTGTCCAGGTCTTCCATCTGTCCAGGTCTCCCATCTACCCAGGTCTCCCATCTACCCAGGTCTTCCATGTGGGTGACAGGGGTCCAAGCCCCTGAGCCATCATCCCTGCCTCCCAGGATGCATTCACAGGAAGCTGGATCTGAAGCAGAGACTCTGAGACTTGAGCTGATACAGGACGCAGGCGTCCCGAGCAGCAGCTTAACCTGCTGCACCAAGTGCCCACCCTGCCTCTGCGTTGCTGACGCTTACTGACCGTCCACTGGCAGCTCCCCACACATATGCATCCACGTAGACTAGGTACATTTTCATTTGCATGAGATGATACTCAAAATATTTTTTAACTTTTCTTTTTTTTTTTTTTTTAACTTTTCTACTGAAGAACTTGAGATGGATATCCCTCGGTGCTGGTGAGCACAGTCACATTGACTGTGATGGCTCCGTGGCATTCCACAGTGTGACATCCGCGCCGCCACCTGCTTGGACAGCTTCCTGGTGGTCAGTTGGAAGTGCTTCGTCCTTTTCCACATCCCTGAAGGATGTCTGTCTCTTGTTGCCCTGCAAAAGTATCTCTTCAAGATACATCCCTAGAAATAGAGTTAGCAGAATTGTGTGTGTGTGTTTTGTTATAGAACAACCTTTTCATTGCCATTGTCATTTTATAAAGTATTTAAAATTTTTAAAGCCAGTGTCTGCATAGGACTTTGTATCTGTCAGAAACTGTGTGTGTTCTAGGTGTTCTTGTGAATATTAACTAGATTAATCTCCATAATAACCCAGTGAAGTGGGCACTGTTGTTAGCTTTACCTTACAAATGAGGAAACTGTCCTGAGGATTGAGGGTCCTGCCTAGAAAGAGTGGGGGAGCCAGGACGTGAACTTCCCGGGGAATCCAGAGTCTGTGCTCCTGACCGCTGTGCTCTGCTCCCTCCTGGATGGAAGGGGTCAGAAAGTCAAATCCTAACTGCCAGAGCACGTGTATTTTCATTATTTTTTTATTTCAATTAATTTCAAAATAATGCCTTTGATTTTTTTTTAGGGTATGTCAAGGTCAGAAGAAGTTACAAGAAGCTTTGCCCCACTACAAAGAGGCGTTGGAATGTCTGGAGAGCAGCAAAGGTGAAAAGAGCCTTGAGTGTGTCCCGTTGTTGCGGGAGCTGGCGGGCGCAGAGCAAGCCCTGGAGTTCCACGACGCAGCCATCGGCCATTTGTTACAGGTAAGCGGCAACATGCTGGCCGCCGAAGCTGGCCAGACTCTGTTCTCACAGACATGTGGCGTGCAGCTCTCAATGTGCCTGGCTTCGTTGTTTGTTCTGCCTCAGTGGCACACTCGGCCTAGCGTAGATTTCAACTAAGATTTTCTTATTAGATGGTCAAGAGGGTGAGTGCAGGACGCTGGTCCCCTGTTGCCAGCTGCACATTCCACAAACAGCTGGAGACTCCCTGAAGGTGAGCTTTCTCATACTACATGCTTGAGTTCTGTTTCCCAGGTTTAGAACTGATGTTGTACCTGATTAGGATTCTTTTTACTACACTCGAAAGTCCAAAGCCACTTAGGATTGTCACCTGTTAGCTACAGCTCTGCTTTGTCGCGGGTGTGACCATCAGCCTTCCTCAGAGAAATGGTTAATGGATGTCTGTGCATAGACAGAGAGATTTATTTTAAGATGGACCCATGCAGTTGGGGGCTGGCAAGTCCAGGGTCCACAGAGCAGGCTGGGTGGGAGGCTGGGCTCTCGCGCAGGGTTTCTGTTCCTGTCCAGTGTTTGATTACACTTCAGGTCTTCAATGCATGTATTTGAGGATAACCTCCTTTGCTCTCAGTGACACATGGATGAGTGTTTCATCAAACAACCGTAGCCCAGCCAGGCTGACTGTAAGATTAACCTGCCCATGAGTTTGATGACTTTGTATCCTATCATCTGCTGAAAGGACTTCAATGTTTTTTCTAAGAATTTTTCCATGTTACAGTTGTAAAATGTAGACTAAGCCATTCTTGTTATTTCAAATGAGATATAATCACATGGTGCTGGGATTCCCTTCTTGCTGTTTCTTTTAAATTTGTCTGATAATTTATACTCCCACTCATAGTCAGCTGGATGCCCCATGCTCTCGTTTTATCTGGATTCTTTTTTAATCACCGTTATCACTCTGTGACACAGTATTATTTCCAGTTTGTAGATAAAAAAGTCAGGAATTGAAAAGTTGAGTGATATACCCAGGAGTACACAGCCAATAATGGCGAAACCCAGATTGAAAACCAGTGTTTTTTAGAAAGATTATTCTGTTTTTAGAAAGATATATATCTTTCATATTTTATTATGTAAGTAATATTATATATTATGTTTTAGAAAATCTTAGAGAGAGAACGAGTGGGTTGGTAAGACTGTGCCAAGAGTGCACGGAAAGAGACACCAGTTATCAGACTGTTGAAGTAGAGACGGCTGAGAATGATGGTGCTTGCGCTAGGATGAAGGTAGTGGAGAGGAGAAGCAGGTGGATTTGAGAGTCATTTAGGAGGCAGAATTGATAAGCTGGATTGGATGAGGGGAAAGGGGGAGGGGGAGTCTTTTCGCTGCTTGGGAAGACGTGAGGTCTCATGAAGATGAATGCGTTCGTGTTTGTGAGTGCTCCACACAGTGCCTGATTCAGGGGGTTCCATTTAGACGTCATTAAATCTTTGCCTCCGTTCCCTCTTCTGTTATTTTTCTTTAATTTCCTTTCATTGCTGACTTTGTTGAGAGGAATTCTGGGGCAATGATGACAGAACCCAGACTGTGCAGCAAGTGAGATGTGAGGAAGCAAAGAAGATAAATGGACAGCCCAGCTCAGGAAGTGCTGAGAGGTGGGAAGGTCACCCCACGTGGGAGGATGGGGCACTGGGGCACAGCCAGGGAGCGACAGAAGCTCCTGTGCCTGAGCCGTGGGTGCGAATGTCCATCACGTGAGGCGTGCAACGTCACGGTAAGGAGTTGCAGCTTCCTCCTCAGGGCAGTGGATGGTTTTCCAGTGGAGAGCTTGACACTGACGATCAGCCTGGAAGGATCACTCTGTGGTAGGGAGAATGGGCTGAGAGGTGGAGAAACAAGCCGGGAGATAGCCCGGAGGTGACCCCTGCGGTACGGATGGGAGCTGGTATTGGTGAGAATGGAGAGACGTGAACAGATTTGAGAGAGTAGAAATGGTGGAGTAGAAATGGCAGTCCTGGGGTGTGCAAGTGTGGGGGTATGGAGGGTTACCCCAAGTTTTTGGCTATGTCACTGTGTGGTTAGCTGATGTCACTGTTTACCAAGCATAAGAACTCTCACAGGTTTGCAATTTCCTTTTAGTATCAGTAGTTATGAATATTCTTACACCAAATCATTTTTATTTTTAAAAATTATTTGCTGGTATAAATTTCTAGAAGTTAAACTTCTGGAAGGAGAGGTGTGAGTATGAGTAGTTTACATTCTTGATTCACGTGGACGTTCTGCCAAAGGGTCGCTTTGATTTATCCTGTCACCAGAGCGGCGCTTTGTTACGATTGATGAACGTACATTGGACAGCACTGGCACCCAGAGTCCACTGTTCACATCAAGGCTCGGGCTTGGTGGTGGACATTCTAGTTTCGACAAATGTGTAATGATGTGCGTCCACCATGCAGTAGCATTCAAGAAACTCACTGCTTGGGGCCCTGCGTACACATGCTCTCCCCAGCCCCAACTCCTGGCATCCACTGATCTGTTTACTGTCTCCGTAGTGTCGTTGTCTTCTCCAGGACGTCATAGTTGGAATCCTGTGGGAAGGCCCCTGGAGACTGGTGCCTCTCCCTGTGTAACACCCATTTACATTTCTTCGCTGTCTCTTCATGGCTCGAGGGCTCATTTCTTCTCAGCAGTGAATACAGTCCCATTGTCTGAATATGCTACCCTTCATGCATCCATTCACCTACTGAAAGGCATCTTGGTTGCCTCCACATTTGGCCAATCATGAATAAAGTTGCTGTAACCATCCATGGGCAGGTTGCTGCAAGGACGTAGATTTTCACTCCCTTGGGGAAAATGGCCCAGCGAGTGCATCCCGTGTCACGTGGTGAGAGTGCTTAGCTGTGCAGGAAGTCACCAAGCTGTCCTTGAAAGCCGCTGTGCCATTTTGCCTTCCCGCCAGCAGTGGAGGAGAAATCCGTGCTGCACATCTCAGCAGTATTTGGGGTTGTCGGCGTGCTGGGTGCTGGCCGTTCTGACAGGTGTGTGGTGGTGTCCCCTTGTTTTGATTTGCATTCGCCTGATAATGTGTGATGAGGAACATCTTTTCACGTTTTCTTTGGGGAAGCATCTGCTCATATATTTGGTCTTTAAAAAAAAAGAAAAAAAGACATAGGAACAGAGACAGAAACAGAGAGAAAGAGGTCTTCCATCTACTGGTTCACTCCCCAAATGGGTACAATAACTGGAGCTGGACCAGCTTGAAGCCAGGAGCCAGGAACTTCATCTGGATCTTCCACGTGGGTGGCAGGGGCCCAAGCACCTAGTCCTCTTCTGCTGCCTTCCCAGGCACATTGGCAGGGAGCTGGGTTGGGATTGGAGCTGCCAGGACTGGAACCAGTGCTCAAATGTGGTGCCAGTGTCGCAGGCAGCAGGTAGCTTACCCCGCTGTGCCACAATAACAATCCCTAGACATTGTCTTCCACAAAGCAGAAAATTTTAATTTTAGTGCAGTCCGACTTAACAATTCTTTCATGGATTATTCCTTTGATATTGTATCTGAAAAAAGTCACCACAAACTCAAGATCATCTAGATTTTCTCCTATGTTATCTTTATGGAGTTTTAGAGTTTTGTGTTTTACATTTTTATGAAGTACATAACGTCTGTATCTAGATTCATTTTCTGCACATAGATTCCAAATTACTCCCGCGCTGTTTGCCAGCACCATTTTACGCCTACCTTTGTTAACACTGCATTGCCTTTGGTCCTTTGTCAAAGATCAGTAGACCAGGGACAGGCGTTGTAGATGATGCCTTGTGACGCCTGCATCCTATCTCAGAGCATCAGGGACTGAGTCCTACCTCCACTTCTGCTCCAGTTTCCTGCTGTGCACACCCTGGGGGCAGCAAGTGACGACTCAGGTACGTGAGTCCCTGCCACCCATGTGGGAGACCCAGCTGGAATCCCTGACTCCTGGCTTCAACCTGGTCCCGCCCCAGCTGTTGTGGGCATAAGTGGGAGAGCCAGCAGATGGAATCTCTCTCCCTCTCTCACCCTCTTTCTGTCACTTTGCCTTTCAAATAACTCAAATAAATAAACATTTAAGAAAAGATAAATTGACTATGTTTCTGTGAGTATAGTTCGAGCACTCTGTTTTGTTCCACTGAGCTATTTGTCTGCTCTTTTACCAATACCACACTGTCTTGATTGCTATTCCTTTATAGTAAATCTTGAGGTCATATAGTGTTGGTTCTCCAATTCTTTTTTTCTCTTTCAGTAATGTATGGGCTGTTTGGGGGTCTTTAACCTCGCCAAATAATGTGTAAAATCAGTTTGTTAATATCAATAATATAAATTATTGGGATTTTAATTGAGATTGCATTGAAACTTTAGATCAATTTGGGAAGAACTGACTTCTTGACAGTAGTGAGTCTTCCTATCCATGAACATGGACTGTCTCTCCATTTATTTAGTTGTTTTTTGATTTCTTTCATAAGAGTTGTAGTTTCATAGTTTCCCTCATAAACATTTCATGCTTGCCTTGTTAGGTTTCATTTTGTAATGAAAATAAATTATTAATGGGATTTTATTAAGTATTTCATTTTGAGGAATGCTAATATAAATAGTATTATTTTTAATTTCAAATTTCACTTGTTCATTGTTGGTATGTGGGCAAGTGATTGACGATTGCATGTTAACTTTGTATCCTGCAACTTTGCTAGTTGACTTACTAGTTCCAGGAGTTTTGCAGACAAAGATTGTTTTATTTCTTCCTTCCACATTTGTATCTTATATTTTCTTTTCTTGCATTAGCCAAGGCTTCTAGTATGATGTTAAAAAGTAGTGATGAGAGGGAAAGTGCATGTCCTTGCTTTGTTATTGATCTTAGTGGGAAAGCTTCGAGTTTCTCACCATTAAGAATGGTGTTGACTGTGGGCTTTATGTAGACAATGTGTATCAAGTTGGGGAAATTCCCTTCTATTCCTATTTTACTGAGAATTTTTTTATTACAAATGCATGCTTTTTCTGCATCTGTTGATAGTATCATGACTTTTCTCCTTAGCTTGTTGATGAGATTGATTATATTAATTGCTTTTCAAATGTTGTTCCCTAAATTTTTCATGACTCAATCCAAATCTGCCCTCAGAGCTTTGGCCCTGTTCTCTCTCTGCCCATTTCTAAGGCTCAAAGAAAGACATAGTGTGAGAGCATACTCAGAGGTATCTAGTGAGGGCCACTACTTTACAAAATTCAGTGGAGTGGAAGATGGCGTCTGAGACCCAGTGTCAACAGTGAGGGTTCAGAGATCTGCATTTAGTTTAGAGAAGCATTCCTCCAACTGTGTTCCAGAGGATACCTGCGTGTCTCAAGGGTTCATAGGTCTGCCTAGGAAAGCTGTTTGTAGTTAAGTAAAACTCAGAAATATTAAGTTAAAATTGAAAGATCTACTTAACACCTGATTTTACTGTGCATTAAATATACCAATGTGTGGGTTGTGAATGGAGAGGGGAGGCCTAAGAAGTCTGTGAGCCAGTCTAGAGAGCATTGGCTTAAAAAAGAAAGAAATCTGTCTAGAAGCAACGGTCAGTAAAGGGGTTCCCATATAATATGCAGATCAGGCCTCTGCACTCACAGGAATCCTCAGCCCTTCTTGAATGGAAAATGATCAGGTGGTACCTCCTGTTTGTGAGGAGGTACCGGGCTCACCGTTGTCAGGTGTTTTGCCACAGTTGTTTTGCTTATCTGTCCACATGGGGACACACACACACACACACACACACACAAGTATGTGTGTTCTTCAGCCATTGGAAAGTGTGTTGAGTGTATCATGTCCCTCTATTCTGAGTACTTCTATGTGTATTTTGAAGAACAAAATTCTTCTCTTACGTAACCCAATGCAGTATATGGAATTTGGGAAAGTTAGCAATGATACAGTCCCATTTCATTGTGTTAATTATTCCACTTTGGCTCATTTTGGTAATTCTCCCCTCTCCAATAAAAGCTCCAGTCCAGAAGCATGGACTGCACTTGGTCGGCATGGCTCTGGGCTTCTTTCATCTGGAGCAGTTTCTCATCCAGACTTTGTCTTGAAGGACAATGAAATTCTCCAAGAGTGCAGGCCAGCTGTTCTCTAGACTGCTACCCAGTTTACCCAGTTTGGGTCTGTCTGAAGCCTCGTCCTGAGTAGGACCTGGAGTGCCTGCCCGGCTGGGGTGTTACAGCCGGCATCTCCTTCAGGTACCGCATCCACAGGCACGTGTTCATCTGCTGCTCATTGGTGACAACGTTCATCACCGTTCATGGTGAGACGCCGCTTCTTCCCCATGTAATAATGATGCATTCTGTAGGGAGAGCATTATTTTTCAGGGAAGTTGAGGTTCTGTTTATTTTGGCAAAATATTATAGAACACTGGACGAATTTGTGTCAGCCTTGTGCAGGGGCCGGGCTTATCTTCTCTGTGTTATTTCTGTTGTGGCATCTGTGCTGCTGAAGGGAGCATGCAGGGGCATTTTAACATCATAGAGACCTCCTGCTCCTCCTCCTCCTCCTCCTCCTCCTCACATCCCTTCTAGGCTTAGCATCAATGGAGGAATGCCCCCCGAGCTGGTCTCAGCTGTGACGGTGGGAGAATAATGGATGACTTTGCACTCTACTGTTTCATCCACATGGACCAATTGGCCTTCTGCCGTTTGGAACACCCCTCTGTCTCCCCACCAAGTTGTTTGTCCTTGGTATGCTGCTTTTTTCACTTATCAATAGATTGTAGATGTTGCTGTTTAGCAGTTCATAGAAATCTTCCTTATTCATTTGTGCAGATATATAATACATTTACAGATGCACTATGGGTTTTTTTTTTTTCCAAACAGTTTTCCATGTTTGCATTTAGATTGATTTGGATATTTTGCAAAGATTTTCATGTCATTGAAGTAAATTTACTCAAAGGGTAAATCCCTTGAAGTAGGACAGCTAGGTCTGAGGGAGTAGGCATTGCAAACTTGTTGATGGTTGTACCCTGTTGGTCATTGTACTGTATCGTCAAGTGGGCTCCTGTCTGGGCTTGTGTCATTTATATTCCCACCGACAATGTGTGAGAGCACCTGTTCCAACCATGTGCATTGTCGAGCTTTTGAACTATCCCACTCTGATGGGTGAGAAATGACATCTCAGCAGAGTCTTAATTTGCATTTCTATTTTTAAAAATAGAATTGAATAGTTTTTCATGTGTTTCAGGTATTTTAATATACTTCTTGTGAATTGTCTTTTTTATGAATTATTCATATCATTTGTCCATTTCTAAAAAGTATTTCTTGCCCTACTTTTCCTTAACTATTAGATTCTTCATAGCTTATAATATATATGGACCTTTTATCTATTGGTATGTATCATAAAGGACTTCACTTGGTTTGTTACTTTTGAAATCTTGCTCATAGTGTTTCTACTGAGATGGTATAGATGCCATAAAATACACACTACTTCATTCCTCTTTGTGTCTGAATGAAGTTCCATTATACAGATCTGCCACATTTGCTAATGTGTTCATCAGTTGATGGACATTTGGGCTGTTTCCACTTTCTGGCCATTGTGACTAATGCTGCTATGAGCACTTGTATACAGGTTTTTGTATGGACATGTGGTTTTAGTCCTCCTGGGTCTGAGGCTAGGGCTGGAATTGCTGGGTTATATAACTCAATACTTAGATTTTGAGGAGCTGCCAAGCGATTTTCCAAAGTAGCCTCACTATTTACTTTCACATCAGCAACACATGTGAGTCTAACTTTGTCCACATCCTCGCCAGCATTTGTTAGTGTCTGTCATTTCAGTGAGTATATCTTACAGTTTTATCTGAATTTCTGTAGTGGCAATGATGTTGCATATCTTTTCACATACTCATTGGCCACTTATGTATCTTCATTGGAGACATGTTGATTCAAATCCTTCACCAATTCAAATTTTTTTGAAAATTTACTTGGGAGATGGATAGACACAAAGTAAATGACAGAGAGAGAGAGAGAGAGAGAGGTCCCATCTACTGTTCACTACCCAGATGTCCACGTCAGCTGCAAGGGCCAGAGCCAGGAGCCAGAAACTTAACCTAGGTCTCCTGCAAGGGTGGCAGGCGCGCACTCACTTGAGCCATCACCACTGCCCCCAGGGTCTGCAGTAGCTGGATATCAAACCCAGGCACTTCCATATGAGATGCAAATTCTCTCCCCTTTCAAATAGTGTTGTCTTTTTTATTGTTGACCTACAAGAGTTCTTCATGCTTTCTGGATGCTGGCTGTTAGCCTCGTATCACATACATGATTTGTAAGTATTTTCCCCAACCTGCAGTTGTCTTTTCACTTTCTTGATAGTCTTTGAAACATCAAAGTTTTAATTTCAGTTAAGTCGCTCATCTATTTTTTCTTCTTTTTCTTGTACTTTCGACATTTGAAAACCCAATGCCTGATCTCAGATTCATGAAGGCCTGCATCTAGGTTTTCTTCTGAGTTTGATCGTTTTTAGTAGGTCTTTGATACATTTTGAGTTAATTTTTGTATGTGATATAAAAGGAGGGGTCTAAGTTGTCCCAGCACCATTTATTCAAAACGATCTTTTCACTGTTGAATGATCTTAGAACCCTTGTCAAAACCAGTTGACTATAAATATGAGGGCTCATTTCTAGACTCAGTTCTATTCCGTCCATCTTTATATCTGTCCTCCTGCCAGTACCACATTGTCTCAATTCCTGGTGTTGTTTTGTGGTAAGTTTTGGAATCAGTAGTGTGGATCCTCTAACTTTGTATTTCTTTTTCTAGATTATTTTGAGCACTCTGGGGTTCCTTGCAGTTTCATATGAATTTTATTTTGCTTATTTATTTATTAAAAAGTTGATTTTTTGTGAAAAGCAGAGAGATGCAGACAGATAGAGACACCCAGAGATTTTCCATCTACTGGTTCACTCCTCAAATTCCTGCAATAGCCAAGCCCAGGTTAGGCTGAAGTGAGGATTCTGGAACTCATTTTGGGTCTCCTGTGTAGGTGGCAAGGACCTGAGTACTTGAATGATAACCTGCTGCATCCCAGAGTGTGTATTAGCAGGAAGCAAGAACCAGATGTAGGGCTGGGATTCAAACCCAGGCACTCCTGTGTGGAATGCAGGTACCCCAACTGGCATGGTAACACCTGAGCCAAGTGCCCACCCTATCATATGAATTTTAGGATCAACTAACTTTTTGCTATTTCTGCAAAGAAAAAACAAAACACATTCACAAAATTGGGATTTTAATAGATACTGCATTGAATCCTGTATTTCAAACTGGGGAGCAGTGACAATTCTATTAATGCTCTCAATTCATGAACATGATATACCTCTCTATTTATTTAGGTCTTATTTCTTTCAATGATGCTTTGTAGTTTTTAGAGTATAGGTTTTGCACATTTTATCATAAATTTACTCTGCAGTATTTTGTTCTTTTGTGCTAATGTAAATGGAAGTGTTTTCTAAATTTCCTTTTCTAGTTGTTCCTTGCTAGCATGTGGAAATACAGATGATTTTTGTCTGTCCATCTGTATCCTGGAGCCTTGCTGAGCTTGTTTATTAGTGCTGTTTTCTCTTGCCATGCAACATTCTTAATGTGTTTGTATTTTCAACCTTTCCTCCTATTGCATTTGGATTTTGAGCCTACGTTGGAAGGATTTCCCTGTACCCAGGTTATAGAGGGATTCACTTGTAAAGTTTGAGAGGTGACTCTTGTTTATTTACAACGATAATAAAGATCAGAGCATGTTTTTAAGTAAGCAATGCAGCTCATTATGAAGGAAGCATGTTGGTGAAATGGAGCTCACACTGGATTTGATATCAGAAAATTTGGATTGGAATCCAGGCTCTTTTTGCCAGCTGTTTGATTACAGGCAAGTCATTTAGCCCATCCAGAGAGAGAACCCTACAGAAGGGCCTACCCACTTGACAGAACCACTCTAAGTTTCAAAAGGAAAGTGCTTTGTGAACTATTAGGCGTGTTGCCAGTGTAAGCTACTTTTATTTATTAACAATAGTAGTAAATGTTCGTCAACCCTCCCCTTTTCTTAGGAGATGTACCTAAGGCTCAGAAAGGCACAGCGTGGCCACAGTTCTCCAAAGGAACCCAGGTCTAAAGGCCATGTGTTAAGTCGACAAAAAGAGATTGTTCCTCCTTGTTTTTCACTCTTCATTCCTTTGCAGTGAGAGAAACACCCACAGAGAAAAGACCTTTTATTTTCTGTAGAATGCAGAAAAAAATTCCAGAGTATTTTAGGAACTAACCTTTTACAGCGGGGGAAAATAAGCGGAGTCCTGCAGAGCCAGCACGGGAAGGCGCAGTCCCAGGGCCCGGTGAAGGAGCTGCCATGTGCCCCATCTGGCCCTCTGCAGCAGGGCTCCGTGGGAAAACCTTGCAAAGGGAATGGGTTCTGAAAGTCCTCGTGACAGATTTTGGCAAGCAAACCTTATTTTCCTATCCAAAAGAAAGACCACAGGGTTTTATTTCTGTGAGCGAAAGTTTGTTTGCCATGTGTTTTCTCAAGGGCTGTGAGTTAACACCTCGCAACGTGTGGGTTACTCTTTCACGTCTGTGACATTTGCATTACATTTCTCTCTTTTCGGTTTTCAGGGCAGTCTGTCACTCAGTAGTTCCCAAATTTAGGGAATTTTGACTTGAGAAGGAGAGTGAAGTTGTGGCGTGCATCAGAGGTTCTTCCAAATGCTGTGGGGTCAGAAAATCTCACATCAGGTCCCAGCTCTGGGACGGTTGTTGGCCTGGCTCAGGCCACGGTGGTGACATCTTGATACTCAACATGTGGCTCCTGGCAGTCCAGGGTACCCAGCAGATGGCAGTGGTTCTGCTTGGCTCTCCTTATTTGCTATGTATCTGCTAAGATGTGCAAATCATTTACTAGAAATAATCAGACTCAGGATCCTTTTCATTTTTTTTGTTTGTTTTTCCAAATCACTTTTTTTTTAACTTTTATTTAATGAATATAAATTTCCAAAGTATGACTTATGGATTACAATGGCTTCCCCCCCATACCGTCCCTCCCACCCACAACCCTCCCCTTTCCCACTCCCTCTCCCCTTCCATTCACATCAAGATTCATTTTCGATTATCTTAATATACAGAAGATCAGCTTAGTATACATTAAGTAAGGATTTCAACAGTTTGTTCCCACACAGAAACATAAAGTGAAAAATAATAGATGATTTTTTTTTAAATGATGATGAAATCAGATCAGACCTATTGTCATGTTTAATCCCAGTGAGAGTCAAGTTGGGAATTGATAATTTCTTTTTTTTTTTTTTTTACAGAAGATCAGTTTAGTATGCATTAAGTAAAGATTTCAACAGTTTGCACCCCCATAGAAACACAAAGTGAAATATACTGTTTGAGTACTCGTTATAGCATTAAATCTCAATGTACAGCACATTAAGGACAGAGATCCTACATGAGGAGTAAGTGCACAGTGACTCCTGTTGTTGACTTT